AAGACGCAGTCAACATTTGGACCTGTTCCAAATTCCTCCTTCATTCGGAGATCTCCCAGAGGACCAGGCCTATTGAGGAGCATTGCCAAGCGTTTGGTCATTGTTTCTGGCGGCTGCAGTTGGCTGCGTGACTGTTACATTATAAGAGACTGAGGGTAGACCTTGTGCCCACCGGATGGGCCTTGCATCGCTTGTGTTGATATTTGTCCGGCCATGTAACATCTTCTGTTGTTGCCTGCCCTCGCGGTAGTTTTAATTGACCGTTTTGACGGCAAGGAGGTATGCTCTTTGCATCGTCGCCTCCGAATCACGCAAGGACGCTAGCTTTACCTTCTTTCTTTGCTGAAGAAGAATAATAAGTTCGCGCAGTGAGTCAGGACTGTTTCATTTGTCCGTCTCTGATACTTATAATCTTGTCAGCCGCAGCGACGACACCTTCTTGAAGACGGGTGCGAAGCAGTTTTGGGTCTTGCCAGATCTTAGAGTCTAAAGCAGCGAGTCTGCTGTCCATCTGCATCTGAAACGCCTAGCAAGTCACAGGCTTCTTCACTTCGTGTCAAAACTGTCGTCCCCCTTTTCTGAGACATTCTTCCAACAGTTGCCAAACCAAGGCGGAGTTTCGCGATCACTAGAAAATGATCAGCGCTGACCTGAGTGTTGAGGACACCGGCGACAATCACTAACCGATGTGGCGGGAAAGAACCAAGAGCACATGAAGACAAGTGCAAAACTGACTCTTCTTCGAATCCTCTTCAATGTTGTTCATATTCCATGTGTCTCGTTGCGAATTGGCAAACGTTGTGATTGATGGAGGTCAAATAGCTGAACGCGAGGGAGGACATCGTCAATGCATCTCCAGCATCGCGGCGAGAGCCACGGTCACCAGACCAGCAGAACTGGCGTCCACTTTCAAGCTGTGGATGCCTTTGGCCTGACGAGTTGGTTTCTGAGGCTTCCTAAATGTCCAGCTAGTATCGCGCAGGGGTGAGAGTGACGTCAACCAGTTTTCCATCATCGTTCAAAGTCCACAGCTTCCTTTTGCACACGTTAGGCACCTGGAGATCGGATCTTTGGGTGGACTCGTTGTAACGGTCCCATGGAAGTATGCCGCTCAACGCACAAGGGTTCTGAGCAGCGTGCGGCACAGTAAAATAAATACGCGACCACTTCATTTTCTGCCGAATTGCTGGGGGGGCGGGGGAGGAGGAGGTGACTAGCAACTTTATAGCTCAGTGTCAAAATTTCCAAGTCAGCAAACTGCCACTGCGGTTGCATTATGGATATCGGTTACGCTGGACTGGACATCATGTGAACTGGACTTCATCTTTAAGTGATGGAGTAGGTATCCCCAATGCCCTTGTCCTGTTCGGATTCTGTTTGTCCTCAACCATTTATGTCAAGCCAACTCCACGCCGAGGGGTTCCGTTTGAGACGAGGCCTTTGTTATGGACGGCTAAAGCGTACTACACTGCTCGTCACTGTTCGTCCAGACTCAGACGTAGCACGTTGCTTGTTCCCATGGTGGGTGGCGTGATTTTCAGGCATCGTGTCGGTGGCTGTTTGATGACACGATGGATGGGAAATTGGATTTCCGTATGCATTGGTCTGGACTATATATGGTTGATGTATATATGTATATGTAAATACATATGTACATGTATGCGTACATGTATATGCATATTTATATGCATATGTATATGCACATATACAT